AATATTCTTAAGCTATATTTTGAAGCATTAGGTGAAAGGACAAAACCATCCTTCCATTGACAGCACAGGTCTGACTGTTACAGTGTCACACATCACCTGTCCTTCCTGGACACCAGAATTTAAAAAACAGATAACAAAGTCTTTAAAACCTTCCAGATTCTTTCAGTAAGAAAGGTTAAAAAAAACCTCAACCAACTGAACAAAAAAACCGCCACAACACCCAGAACACAAAAACCACCAAACCCAAAACCAAACCCCCCCCCCCACCACACTGAAAACAAACATGATGCAAACCCCAAAAAACCCACACCACACACTCTCCGCTGCTGGCAGGACAAGGAACGTCTTGCCTTGAAGCATGGGATTCAGATAGCTGTTACTGAAGGCTTTAAGAACAGGGTAGAAAGGACTAGGATCCCACCTTGGAGACTGATGATAAATTGCATCTGTACCATATAAATTTGTCTCATTAAAATTCCTTCCAGTCTTTTTAATAATTCTGTAGATAATCTATAAAGTGTTCTCTTGATCTTTCCCATAAGCCTGATCTCCCTTCTCCCTATGTGTATTATAAGCTTCATATCCAGAATACTGTCCTAGGTTCAGATCTCTCTTCGGGTTCTCATATTCATATGACAATAGGCATAAATCTTGCATATATCCCTTCTCTGATATGGCTGTGAAAAGTCACACATCTTTCCCATTTGGTAACAAAATGTTAGGATATTCTGGGATTAAAGTAATGAAACCAGTCTTTGGCAATGTCTTACTTGTTTGAAAACACACCAGCCTTACAGATTTTCCTATGTTGCTCTTGTATTCAGAAGGAACTGCCAGCAAATATCCACAAAACCTCATTCTATTTCCCTGCAAAGCACTCCTTAATATTTCTTTTCTATTACAAAACAAAACTTGGGCAGTAATTGGGCCACTGGCAAGCTGCAACTGCTATTTAATCTACTGATCCATGTTTTCTCTATTGTTCCTTTATAGTTCCATGTCTGCTTCTGTTTTATAATAAAAGCATTCGGTGCATAATGCTCGTTTGTGGTAGGCAAAAAACCAGAATAGAATACTATCTTGGTCCTTTTCTAAGATCCCAGATAGCAAAGCAATGCAAATAATTAATATTATGTATGGGGTACACAAGATATATAGTATAATGCAAATAATTAAACTAATATATAAACAAACTACAGATGGCTATACCATGGTTAAAAGTATAATGTAGATTCTTGCTAGTGGCAAGGACACATACAAGATTTGGTGAAAAGGGAATTAATAGACTTGCATTTAAGTACAATCCATACATTTCTTGGACTCCATCATCATAATTCAACAAAATAATTCTATAATTTTTTTAATACATGCAGCTAACTGTACCTAAAATCCTACAGCCTGGGAGTAATCTCTATAGCCAAGTAACTACTGGCACTGATTAAGGTATTACACAATAGAATTCTTTCCAAATGTCTGCTGATCTGCATATGAAATTGATTGTTAAAATAGAAGAAAAAAAAAGTCCAGACACTAAATACAATATATGCTTGGCTCTTCACACTCACTAGAAAGCAAATAACTTGCTCAAAATTCACCAGTTACAGGACTGGTACTCTTGCTCTCTGGCACAACTGCAAAATCAGTTATCAACCAATAATTAAGAGGGTAACTTAAATCTCTAGAAGTACAAGATAGTGTATGTTTGATTAAATCACTTATTTGTAATAGAACCGCATATCCTCCAGTACACCACACTGATCAACACAGTTACATGAATTGCTACTGCCAGACAGATTTTAATAGTTATTTTTTCCAAGAATCTGCATGCTAAGTTAAGAAAATCTTCTTTAATATAAAGTTATTAAGATTTAGGTACTCTATTAAAGCAAATTACATTCAAGATGTCATTTGATCCATCCTAAGTACCCTTGTTCTAATTACAAAAAAGGCCCAAAACAAATAAAACCCCACTCCAATTCCCCTTTGTATTAAGATTTTAGGTTTAAAAAGAGTTTCAGTATCCCAAAGTTTTGATTCAACCATTACATAAATATTTCTCTAGCAGACTTAAGTAGTTATTTCAGACTTGGGTATTAATTATTATCATGATAAACCAGTCTTTATTCCAGGAAAAAGTTATTAAACTGTAACAGGAACTCGCTACTTTTTAAAATTACAGGACTATTGTCTAACTGAAGACTTGCTGCACAGTCTAAACAACCCTAGCAAGAGCACTAATATTAATTTATATAAAACCCTACAGATGCAGTAGCTTCCACCACAGAAAATTGTTACAGTCCTCTATGCAAAAAGCAGGAGATGGAACAGTGTTATTTAAACATATTAATGTAACATCATCTATTCTTTTCCAAACAATTAAGTACTCAATTTAAACACTAATTGCTAGCAAATGTAAACAAAATACAGCTATTCACAGTTATGATTAAATTAATTCTGCATTGCTTTCGATTTAATGCATCTCCATTAAGTTATCACATACTGGTACTTTAGTTACTTTGCAAAAAAAAAAGTTAAAAATATTCTAGAAATTTTCATTATTGTCATTTTTACCACAGCACCTTGAAATTCTAATTATCAGACAAAGATTTTACTCTCTCAGGTTCTGCAAACATGTGAGATGCTCTGATTATAACATCGTGGATGGTACAGAAATTCAACGCCTTCATTCAAACTAGCAAGAACAACACAGTTAAATTAAGACTGCTAAGTTACCACATTATGAACATACTGAAAATTAAATAATTTAAAGCCTTCAGGGAGCTGTTAGCATCTAACTGCATAAAAACATGCTCTGTGCAAGCCAGTCACTGGGCTACCCTTTCACCCACTGGAGAGAAATGCACAGACCGCGACTAAACTCAGGCACAGAAGTCTATGATGACATCTACAGACGTCAGCTCAATTTTGCCCTGGAATTCTCTGCACTGACCATGAAAGCAGCTCAGTGTGATCAGACGCCTGAAATGAGGTGAGATTAACTCCACCTGCAGCTTCTTCTGAGAGACCATCAGCCTTTCAATTGCATTGAAACATACACCAGAAGTTGATAAAGCCTTGTTTACAGTCTGCCCTCACCTCATATGTAGCTTACATGCAGCCTGTTTTCAGAGACAGTAGATGAGCATGGTAGCTTGCCTTTACATGACTCAGCTGCATGTAGCTCTTGTGCAAGACCTATGCCTCAGACAGGAGTACTAACTTTTGCTGTTTAGATGCCGATTTGTGTTTATTGACCATGTAGATTTAGGTGCATGGTTTGTTAAAACAAGAAGCTCAGCTACTGCTGGAACATACTGATGATTCCAGTATTATAGGGAGGAGAGCTATATGAATACAAAGAGAGGGGAGGGTAATCAGTGTAGAGAAAAGACTCAAAACAGTGCTTGCAGAGAGGAAGAAGCAGGCAGAATTGAGGAAAGCCTTGCTGCAGTTGGCAGGATAAACACAAACCTCCAAGCTAGTCACAGCACGGGGAGGGTGTGTGCAGGCTGCGTTTGTTTTACTGTTCTTACAACAGCTTATTCAAAGCATTCCAAAGAAGTAACATCTAAGCACCCTTAGCTTGAAAAGAGACCAGGGAAAGATAGTCAATATTTAAAAATTCACCGTGCAATCATCAAAAGAAGAAATTTAACAATTGAGAGAATTTGTTACCATTTATTGTTATACGAATAATGTTAGAAGTTAACTTCAATATTAAGATTAAATAC